TAAACAAAAACTCCATTTTTTTCTTACTAAATTTAATCCAAGCACAATATCAAATATATTTTCAACTTTGATTTTGACTTAATCGATTGCTGAAAAGCAAAAGCTGAGAGTAGCAGATTAATTTATATTATTTAAAAAGATATAGATTGATCTGTTTTCAATTGATTAATTTACACCCACACCCACACCCCGTTTTCTTCTGATTCGAATTCCCATTACCAAGAGATATTCTTCTTTATTCTCGCAAATGCTGTGACAAAAATCAAAAGCCGAAAACGCTCTTGAAAGAAGAAATCCATCGCCAAACAGTAGCCTGTGCACGAATCCAGAATGGTCCATTGTCCATTAGTGCGAAACACCATTGTAGCATTTTCTTATCACTCAACGATTGCATGATACCAATCATCAACTCATCGACACCGGTCGGTTTCTTGGCCTCACCTTCGAATATGAACTCAACCGAATTTACTTGTGTACACAGACCCACATTTCCATAATGAAACACAAACCCATCCACTTCCGTTTGTGGACTATAGTGAGCAAGAGCCTTCCGATAGATATTCAAGATATGATCAGCTTCATCCGATGCATACATATTTGTCACCACCAGAGCAAGGAATAACTTCAATGCTTTACATTCATCTACAATAGCTTGGAGATGGACCATTTCAGCATAGGAACCTGGTGAAGTACAATAGATCAGACAAATTGGATTGGTTTTGCTCAGCAGTGATTGTATATGTTGACGGACATTGAACTTTGTCCAATCCTCAATACCTGGTGCATCCCATATTCGAATCAAACATGTCGATTTGATTGTCTGATTATCATTGGTGATAGTCGTGTAAGTTTCTTGATATTCATAGTAGTCATCGACTAGAGTGCACGCATTTCGTCCAGGACTGATTTTCGCTACATCTTTCTTGAGAATAGCATTGATCAGAGTACTTTTACCCACACGGGGTGAGCCCATCAGTAATATATCAAAACTTTTTCCGACTGCTTGATGCAAATATTTTTGAATATCTGTTCGTGGAATCTTTGCTATAGCTGATTGAACAACATCACCGAGAATGAATTTCCTCGCTTCATTTTCTGATTCTGACGCTGAGGAATCTGTATTGTGAGTGTCATTATCGGATGGAAGCTTCACGTCAGTGGTAGGTGAAATATTCACTGTTGGTTTTAACTTGATTGAGGGTGAGATCGATGTTGGCACTAAAACAACGAATTTCTATCATATCGATTATTGAAAGAAAAGATTCAGAGAGTGTGTAAATGACGAATAGAGATTTCGAATACATCTTAGTTCACAACTACTCTAAGAAATGTGCATTTTACCTGTAGTTGGCTCTTGCTGATTTTGCATTTCTTTCGCTTTATTAATTCGTGCAAGGTATTCTATCAATCGTTTTGTTCTCATAATCATTTGAAAAGATCCATTTAGATGATGTGGTTGCAATACCTGGTTATTTTCGAGTTCGATTTCGTATTTAAATGCCAAGTAGTAATCATCTGGATGTGGTTCTTTGATTTTTCGACACACTTTGTTAAGTATCTCACCATGAGTAGTGAATAGCGGAATTACTGGGATTGAAACTATCTCGCCTGTTCGACGAACATGAACTTGTATTTCCACTTCGGACATTATTCGCTTCTACAGTTACAAAAAGAAAGCGAAGTGACTCGTAGAATGTTCACCGTTATTAGCGAAATGCTTTGAGAGAGTAGCCGAGGTTTCATCAAAATGCGAATCAGCACGACTTCGATGAAAGAAAAAAGAAGAAAAGCATCAAAGAATGTGTGGAGGAATATGGCGTGGATGTCTGTATAAGAGCGTTCGACGAATAATTTTAGAAATAATCGCCTTCATATAAAAGAATTATTTACGACTTGATTTTTCACTACTTATCTTCATCATGTAAAAGACATAGATGCGCAAATATGGATACAAATTGTATCGACCGTTTCATATAGGAACTAACATGTCCCGACTGATGAGTATATATCAGTATGCAACGGCATGTAACGGTATGTAAAGGCATGTATCGGCCCTATGTATCGCTATAACAACCTATATACCCCTGAAAAGTCTAGAATTCAAGAATTCATGTAACGGCATGTAACGGCATGTAACGACATGTATCGGTCCTATGTAGGGTGTGGGTGCGGCTGGGTATAGGGATGCATCAATTCCAGAAAATTGGCTTCAAAGATGGTATTTTTGCGATATGAAGAACCACCAATTCCGACCCATTTTTTGTGTTAAACTTGAGGATGTGGGTGTGAGTGTTGATCGTAAGATTTTCACACTCACCCCCACACCCACACCCTTCTAGGTTTTTCGGGGGTATATAGGTTATTACAGCGATACATAAGGCCGATATATATCGTTACATGCCGTTACATGAATTCTTGAATTCTAGGTTTTTCAGGGGTATATGGGTTGTTACAGCGATATATAAGGCCGATAGATGCCTTTACGTACCGTTACATACCGTTACATACTGATATATACTTATCAGTGGGGACATGTTAGATCTAATATGAAACGGTCGATACAATTTATATCTGTATTTGCGCAGCCCTCGTAAAAGAAGATAAAGCTGTCTAGAGGAGTTTGCTTTTTTTATTAATGTAATCGAATGCCTTACTACACACTTCATCTTATCTTGAAATGCGATCGCAAAATTTTGGACAACGAAAAAACCGAGTTAGTAGTTTGATGTAACGTTTTACACGACGAACAAAAAAAAGATCCATCTCTTGTAGATTGCTTTTTATAATTACAGGACGTATTAGTGATATTCTTTATTCAATGAATTATGTCCGACGATCAAGGACATAAAGATTTTCAAAGAGCAAAATCGATCTCGTTGGATGCTGCTTTAGAAGTTGGTGCTAGTAACATCCGCCGATCTCGTCAAGAAATAGCGGAAAACAATCCCGAATTCTTTGCTGAATCTGCTAAAGAGAAACTTCAAGAATTCACTTTAGTCGTCTGTGGTGGACCACGGACAGGTAAAAGTACACTGATTAATGCCATTCTCAATAAAGATCTTGCAACAGTTCGTCCGGGTTTTGCTCCTGTAACTATGGAGAATACCTGCTATAAACTCGATGGCATTTTTCCAGAGATTGTCGACGAACAAACAGGTGAAAAACAACAAGAATCACAACCATTTCAAATAAGTGTTTGGGACACAAAAGGAATTACCACATGGAATGAATCGATTGTGAAAATAATTCGAGAGCATAATCCTATGTGTGTTTTGTTGTGTTCATCGCCAGGTTCATTTGCCAAAGATGATTTTATCAAACCATTAATTCAAGAATGTGTCAATTTGAATGTGTTAGTTGCTTTGGTCTGTACGAATCGATGGAATGACAGTGACATCAAACGGCAACGAGTCATGGAAGAATTTCATGATTTATTGAAGGTGCGACTCAAATGAGAACATATTTTTTGAATATTAAATCAAGCGCTGTGTTTTAGATTTACAACACGAACATTCGTGAAGAAGATGGTATTCGATATTATGGTGATATTGGACTGATCGCTATGGTCAATAGTGTACCGTATGTCAATAATCGTGTTGGAATCTACAAACCGAAAAGTGGTGTCGGTACTTTACTCTATGGAATCATGAGATCATTGAGTAACGAGAAATTAATGGGTTGGTGCTATACATTGATGGAGAACGAAGGATTTTGGACACAAATGCAAACTCATATTCAAGAATTCTTTGCTGGAAAATTCACCTATGGGAAATCGATCCTATGGTCATTGTCAAGATATATGACCATGAATCGAAAATAGCTCCAATGCTGCGGTACTGGCTAGTTTATATGAATCGACGAAATCTATATTTCACCCGATTTTTCTTAGTCCGTTGTCGTAAACCTGACAATCCCTCTCAATCTCTTGCCTCAATAAAATTGAAAGTATCTGTTTTGGGATGTAGTAGAATACTCATGTCTCTTGCGTGCGGGTATGGGTGTGTGGGTGTGGGTGTGGGTGTGGGTGTGGGTGTGGGTGTGGGTGTGGGTGTCGGTGTCGGTGTGGGTGTGGGTGTGTGGGTGTGGCTGAAGTGATGATTTATGCCCATACCCACTACAACAATCACCCCACACCCATCCCACCCACACCCCATACCCTACGCGCACACCCATACCCGCACACCCACACGCCACACCCACACCCTGAATTCGGTTATAATCATTTTTTCTTATCTTTCATCAAAAGTGAACTTCGATGTCTAAAAATATTTTCTTTTACATCAAAATTGTGTGTGTCTCGAACTATTCTATAGAATTTGATGTGTTCCGTTGACAATCAATAATTCGATGATGAAACATTGATCAATTCCTTTGTCAACAATGAATTCCTAGAGACAATAGAAAAAAAAGATCCCAAATGTCCATTGATTGTTTCTGTTCGGATTTTAGAGTGAAAATTGAATAGAAAAATATTTGTTTTCTTATGAATAGCTGCTTATCTCATCAGTTGAATTTCTTCTTCCGTTACATTCTCAATGAATATTCAAACGGGATTAATGTATTTTTGTTCTTTTCAAGCAGAACAAAAATCGATAGCAGTCTAATCGTTAGCCGAGTTTTATGATTTGTACAAATCGATTTCTTAACACTTCATTACCAATGAAAGACGACGGGTTGATAGAATGTGCAGCTGTGCAAGCTTCAGTCTATCATTGCTTTCCATCCCTCTTTCTAACTGATTTGTTATTCCCTATGACGTTGTCATCATCGAAATCAATAACGATGAACACATTCAAGCATAATTATGTAACATACCACAATAATCAATCGTCATTCAGTTTCCATCGAAATTCTTTCTCAATTAATCGAAAAATTGTTGCGAAAAGATTTTCATTTGTGTCAAGAACGAAGTAAATATTTATTTCATGTGAGACTCAAGCAGAGTGGATACGCTGATGATTAATAATCGATGCAAAAGACAATCGGAAAATTACCATCTTCAAACATGGGGATATAATTTAACTGATCAAAGCGTGGAAATTGCTGCAGAGCAAGTAAGTCATCAATATGCAGCCGAAAAGCATCACAAGATGCATTAATAATCACCAACGCATTTTATTGTAGCTCAAACTTGAAAGCATTGGTATTTTATCACAATCATGTCTTTAATTTGAAGAGTTAATCACCGATCAAAAGTTCTTTCAACAAATAACTCTATATACTTGAAGATATTTAATCTTGGTTCACATGATATTACAGATAATGTTTCTGGTTTTGAATGAAGTAATGGATCAAGACATTCAATTATTAATCAGCACACTCATTCGACCTATTCCAATTTTACATCTCTCTAAGACCAAGTCGATAAGTGTTAATTTTCTTCAAAAAGGAAACCATTCAGTAAGAGAATTATTGGGTGAAAATGTCGAACAAAAATGTGTAGATATTAGTATCACTTCGAACTATTAGTATCAGTCATCGGCGAAAACTCAACAAAGACTGCCTGACGCATATGCTGGTTACTCATTCTTTTTTTGCCGAAACTCGATATGTTTGCGAACAATGCATGTAAGTAGCTGCTTTAATTTCACAGACAAAGTCCGATAAGCAATCGAAGAATGACCCATCTTGTTGACTCTTAGTAGTGGGTTTTTTAACAATTTCCAACAAGAAGAACGCAATATCAATACTCAGGAGAAGCAAGGTTGACATAGCAAGCGTTGATAACAGTTCTACGATGCATTTTATGTCACTGCGAAACGAAATACGTTTGACACTACCACGAAAGCGGATGTATCTGAGAATCGTCGCGTTCATTGAGTAAATAAAGAAAGCCTATGGCGCATGAATCTCATCAAATTAAAGACATGATTGTGATAAAATACCAATACTTTCAAGTTTGAGCTACGATAAAATGCGTTGGTGATTATTAATGCATCTTGTGATGCTTTTCGACTGCATATTGATGACTTACTTGCTCTGCAGCAATTTCCACGCTTTGATCAGTTAAATTCTATCCCCATGTTTGAAGATGGTAATTTTCCGATTGTCTTTTGCAT